CACTTTTTATGTTATAAACGTTTAGTTGTGTTCTTGTACTGTATATGTAGTTGTCATTTTGTTATTCATCAGCAAGTACCACAGCTGAGTCAACAATGTCCACACCATCCTGCTCCATCCTGTTCTTCTGCAGTCTGCTGAGCTGCTCGTGTCTCTGCATGTTCCTCCTTCTCTTCTTGGTGGCTCGAGTGTGAAAAAGTGGAAGGAACCCAGAAAGACAGAGGGTCACCAGACATGGCTCCAGCTGAGCTAACAAATAAAAAAAGCAATATTTTCCACTAAATATTAAAATATTAGAATGTGAATAGCATCAGTGGTTGTAAATAAATAGTTGTCAAATACATTTAACATCTTTAATCTATTTGAACAGATTTCAGATCTGAGTCTGGTAAAGACTTAAGTGCTGAAACAGAATCCAGGTGTTTGCATTCACTAATAAAGTATCAGAAACTCGTGTTCAATACTTAATTTACCCGCTGTATTTTATTGTAGATTTGTGAAATTTAAAACAGACTTTCAAAATTGCAAACTTTTTTTTGCTTACCATATAAAACACAGTGAAGGTCGAAAAGGTGGTTTGCTAAATAAGAATAATTTATCTTCTCATATGACATTCTTTCAGATAAATATGAAAACTTGTATCAGTTTGATTGACTGCTTAACAAGTCAGGCCTAGTCCTTATCTGTTATCCTTCTGTTTCAATGGGGTTTTTTTTTTGTTTGTTTTACATAAGGGCCATTACAAAATAACATTTTAAACGTATGATTTTCTTCATCCCTTTTCAGAATATCATTAAGATGGAGGACAGCGCTAAAGTTCAGGCACACACGGGTAAATTCTGCCCTCTACCGATGTAAAGTGTACAGGTGGACAAGGCTCGTGAATAGTTCAATTGAAATCGGACCAACACGAAGAAACAGCCACGACGTTCAGTTTACTCCTATACCAAAATACGAGTTAGTTAGTKAGTTATGGTTAAATAATTGAAGAAATAAAAGGTCTTATTAAGAGAAATGTGTCTTAATGTGGGTGATTTATTGATGTAACACAACAGAATGGGCTTCTTTTCGATTGTACTTGAAAGCAGCCTAAACCTTAAAGGGAACCGACACGTGAATCACGTGGTACATATGTACCAATGAGAGAGCAYCAACTTTTCTATCCGGAACAAGGACTTTGCAGACAGGTCGGTTGTGATTTTAATGCTGTACTTTGTAAATAAAACGTCGCTGCTGAAGTTTTCTTTGACTTTTCCCGTCTGTAGCTCGTGTTCATGTGATTAATGTGCTGTTGTTGAAGCAGGTATTAAAACCCGCTGGCGTTTTGGTTCTTCTGACCCGGTTCTGTCGCATAGGTTCTGTTGTCTGAAGCTCTGACTCATAAAATGAACACARTGTTTACGCTGTTATATCAAACAATTAGAGATATCATGGGCATCAAGTAAAGCTTTATTTAAATAAAAATAAATAAGTTTATGAAAACTGACAGTGTGTAACTGAGTTTCTAGTTGAACTGTTTTACTTTTTCTGGATTTTATGTGTTTTTATTTTACAAAACATAATTAAATAATTGTTTTTGAGTAAATTGGACAGTCTTGAGTCAAATCTTCACATTTAACTCGTAAAACTGAAGCTTTTAAATATTTTGATCACTATGTGGTCCAGATCWGATCTGATCCTGACTCTGTATTTGTGTTTTACAGGCTTGTTTGTGTTGTTTTTATTTTAATGTGTTGCTTTTTTCTTTTGAAACAGCTCTTCCCAGTCAGTCCATGGCCTATCAGTATGAGTCTATCAGTCTGGGTCGTCCTCCAGCGGATCGGGCAGCTGCTGCAGACCACTGCTGGTTCCCTGGACCCCCTCCACCCATCTACTCCTGCACCCTGACCCCAGACCTGGAGGCCAAGGCTCGAGAGGAGCTTCAGGAGAAGCCGGAGTGGCGTCTGCGTGATGTCCAAGCTCTGAGAGACATGATTCTGAAGGTCAGGATTTGTGTTTCCACAATAATCATGTCAATATTTTGTTGTGTATGTGGAGCAACTAATTAGAAAAGGGCTGAATTTGGATAAAAAATAAAATATCTGTACACTGTTTATACTGCAGAGTTTCTGGCCTTGTGTTATGAGGGTGTTGGTTCATGTTTAACTTTTTATAACCACAGTTAATTTGATGTTTGATGAATAAATAAAATAACATAAGACTTACTGTAAATGATTGATTTACAAAGTGTGCAGCTTTTAACACCACAGTGAATTCTTCTCAAAGAATATTTCTGGAACCTCTTTATATGGGGAAAATATAAATACATTTTTGTTTGCCTGTGTTATTACTAGTAGGTAGATTTTAATGTTCAGGTACATTTGGCAATAAGAAAGTTCATAAACAGGAATTTTTCAACATACCAAGCCTCATAATGTGAAGTTCATAAGTCAACATTTGATAAAACTCCTGAAGCTTATTAACACTGACAAGTGTTTTTGTCTTTATATAATTTCATTATATATATAAAGGTTGATATTTTAAAAACTATAGCACAGCTAGTCCTTTACACAAAACAAAAATAACCTTAAATTGTCGTTATTTTTATTTTCCATACTGACAAATTCCAGCCTTATTATGACCTTATTATTTATTTTTAATCTGTTTTAGTTGTCATGTTGTCATTTAATCCATTTTATATTCATATTTGATCATTTGTTGAACAGTGTAGTTCTGTCTCAGTATGGTTCTAAGTGAGTTGAGTTCATCCAAACAACAAAACATCTAAATAGGTTTTTTTGTCATTTGATATATGAAACAGCTTCCAAAGAATAAGTGTGTGTGTGTGTGTGTGTGTGTGTGTGTGTGTGTGTGTGTGTGTGTGTGTGTGTGTGTGTGTGTGTGTGTGTGTGTGTGTGTGTGTGTGTGTGTGTGTGTGTATGAAACAACTTACAAAGAATATGATATATTTCATATTCTTTGGAAGCTGTTTAATCTCAACTTGAATAGTTTTTAAAATCATTCAGATCTCTTGAACCAAATCTTAATGTACTAAAAATAAGCAGATCTTTGTTTTTCTTTCATATTTGTGGACATTTTTCATCACAGATTCTTTTGTTTCGTCCGCTCCTCAGGAACATCCTAATCTCAGAACCCGATTGGACGATGCCTTCCTCCTCCGCTTCCTGCGGGCCAGGAAGTTTGACTACGACCGCGCCCTGCAGCTGCTGCTCAATTATCACGCGGGGCGGAAGGCCTGGCCCGAAGTGTTCCAGGACCTGAAGCCGTCCACCGTCAGACATGTGCTGGACCTGGGCTTCCTCACGGTCCTACCACGGCCAGACCCCAGAGGAAGGTACATCCTGTTTCTCCGGCCAGGTGCGAGTCTTTCTGCAGAATTCACATTTCCATAATCCAGGTTTGATGTTTGGTTGTGACGTCCTTCAGTTGGACCTGGAGGTTTTTCAGCAGGTGATGTGCCTTTTTGTTTTTACAGGCAAATGGAAACCAAATGATTATCCGTTTGTGGACAATGTGAGAGCCATTTATCTGACTCTGGAGAAGCTGATCCAGCCGGAGGAGACGCAGGTGAACGGTATCGTCATCTTAGCCGACTACACCGGAGTGGGAATGTCTCAAGCGTCCAACCCAGGTCCTTTTCTGGCCAAGAAGGTGGTGAGCATTCTGCAGGTGAGACTCTGTTTATAATCTGATGACATCTGGGTTGAAATGAGTCAGAAAAAGAAAAATTTGTTCAGTCGGTGACTTCGGAGCAGTTCCTCTAGGGTTGTTTTTACTTATTTTCTTGTTTCATACGGTTATGTTCATAATAATAGCAGTGTGTTTTAAAAGCTGAATAAATCTCAAAATTCTTCAAATAAATTGTATTTTAAAGGGCCAATATTATGTGTTTCTCAGGCATACATTTAAATACTATACCATAATAAAGTATCTATGTCACCTTTAGTTGTTATTAAAATGCTGTTTTTATGTTTGAATAGAAAATGAATTTATCTTCTCATCACTTCCTCTTATAAACGCCTTGAAATTGACCTCTTTCTCTTTAAGAACCGCCTTCCGCTTCTGTCCCATCCCGTTCAGTGT